AATTAACCTTTATTAAAGTATTTTCAGGCTAGAGTTAAATTATTTTAACTTGTATTAGATATGCCAGTAATTAATTATCTTCACTGTATAGAAATAAGAGACAATTTTAGTCAATGTTTGTCAGGCTTTAGCAGTCATTTGATTTCTCTATGCTAGTGTGAAAAACCCTGCATATGTGACATTTTTGTTTTATATATATATATGCAATAAGAATAAAAGCATAGAATTTAAGAACACCAAATCTTCATGCATAAGCACATTCTCAAAACCTCTGGTTTTTTCTCCAGTTTTTCATCATTTCAGCAGAGATAAGTGTAAAATTATTCCTGTTGGACACTAGGCTATTTATATACTCCAGGATTGCATTATTCTTCTAGTTACCGTACAGTTCATTTGCTTGTGACCCTCCAGGCTTCTCAGCCACTCTTGCAAGAGGGAAGTGCTGTGTTGCTAAATACTGTATCCACCCTCCCTTTGCCCCTGCCCAACAGTGTATGAACTTCAGGGTTTTGTATTCAAAAGCATGGTTTGTTTTTTTAGAGCTGTGGGGCAGTTCTGGTTCCTACCTAGTTCCCAGTGTTTGTAAGTTACTGTTCCCAGAATGTGTGTATCATTAACATGGCCTTTTTTGCCTGTTGAAAGATGGCAACCAGGGAGAGGCAAAGAATTTGTTTGGAGTGCCATCAGAAACACACACATTGAGGTTTTTATTTACAGTTGTATTCTGAGACCTACTGGGTAGGTGGTGTTGACTTTATTTAGTATATGCAGTGATTTATTAAAGAAACACCTTCTGCCACTGAGCCAGATTCTTTAGGGAAGTCAGAATAGGTTATTTATGCACTACCGTCTTCATTACTGAAATGCAAAGGTGTTGGACTTTGGAATGAAGTGAGAGGAGCTAACTAAGAGCTACAGATAATGTTTTAGGTACTCCTTGTAGCTTTTCCTAGCAGCAGAGAAATGTAAATAATAGAATTTTAGACAATGGAAACATTTTAATAAAAAGTGCTTTTGAAGCTTTTACAGGGAGATGGTAAGTTTTTACATCTTGGAAGTTTTGAAGGGAATGAATAAGATACTGAAAACCACTGCATATGTCCCTTGGTGGGGGAAAAAACCTTACTGTACTCACAGTTACTCTGTACTAGTGGAGACTTTTGCACTGCCTGCAGGATCACAGGGAATTCACTTGCACTTTGAAGTGTGAAGTGATAATCCTCACAACTGCTTATTTCTTTATTAAACTTACGGAAGTTAATTACATGCCCTGGTAATTTACAACAAAAAAAATCACAATTCTCTGATGCCAAGTAGGCAAGTGGGTTTCCAAGCTTCAGTTTAGTCCCTCATGCTGTAAGAAGAATTTGGCATTGGCACACATTATTACTATCATTCATCCAGAAAGTCTATTAATGTATGCACATTTTTCTGCACAGTAGTGTTTCATGAGTAGGTCTTGGTAAATCTGCTATATGCAATTTACATGTATTTCATTATTTTATACTGCTGGACTTACTGTTAATGTCCTGCTTAGCATTTGTGGGTTGAGTACTTGTGGTCTTTGGAAAATGAGTGCAGGACATAATTAAAATCACTGTATTTCATATGGATAGATACACTGAGTATTTGTAAGTGCTAAATGTATTGCCATGCATATAGTCAGAAATGAACTGATTTTACAAACAGTGATATTTGATATTCATTAAGTTTGCTGTATTTCATATGCCTTGTGACAACTGTAAAGAAATTGGAATTTGGGGGGATTTTTGGTGGCTTTCTGAATGGCTCTTGTTATAATATTGCTATCTGAAAAACAAGAGTACCGCTCTGGTCAAAGAAGGCAAAGTGGATCATGACAGATTGACCTTAAAGTATCCAGCTGGGGATGCCAGTTCTAATAAAACAAAGTGGATCATTGCTCTGTATTCTGTTATTAAGCATCTCAAAGGTAACGTGAGTAGTGATTAAATGTGTTTAAATGACTAGTACAGTGATAGAGAAGATAAAAAGATCAGGTTGTACTCTTTTACCAGTCCTAAATAGAAGCAAATAACTAAAAATGGTGCTGCATGAGAAATAACCCAAAAATGTGCTATTTGTATGTTTGTTGAGAGTGTTGGGGCAGCTGAGTTAAAAAGAGATACATGGAAATATGTGCCTTTCTTCATGTTGTCATTTGTATGTAACAATTTCTTGTTAAGGGCTTAAGTCTCATTTCAGTGGTACACCACCACTGATGCAGGGGAATCTAAGTTCAGCTCACCCATTTTTAAGTTTCTGGACTGCCTACTTACATTCTGCATGGTGTGACTGCTGCCCATATAGTCCATGAGAGAACTTCTTTGTGTCTCACTGCTTCATCAGCTTCATCAAAAATGCTGCATTTGCTTACAAGTTTCTATCCTTTTACCTACAGAAAGTTTTCCAGTACTTTGCCAGCCTCGGTATAAAACCAAAATAACATTGGAAGTAGATGGCTGTTAGTTGTCCCCAGCATACTCAGCTGTAGATCTGCCTTACCTGTGGAAATTGTCCATGTAATCACTCCTTTAGAACAACAGTTGCAAACAGCTTTAAATCAGGTGCATAAACGGGAAATTAATAAAATTAGGTCAGTGCCAAAATGGATTTAGACTGTGTGTCACTGTAAGTAGCAAATGAATGTGGGAGAGGTTTTGATTGGCAGCTCTGTGCTTAGACTGGCTTCAGAAAGGCCAAACTTTATTTGCTGTGTTGATGCTTGAAATTATGTGGAGGTTCTGTGTTACGTAGCTCCCCTTACAGTGTGATTACAAAACATTTCATTTCTGCTTAAGCAGAAACGTAAAAGTTTGGCTCCCATGACTTCTGCTATGGTGGGTTTTTTTCAGTTTTTTATTGACTCCAATTTATATGTAGCAATGCATTGCTATTGTGGGAGAAACTGTAATGCTGAAAGTCATGTGGTAGGTGCCTACAGAACTAGTTCAAAACCCAAAATAGTGTGTAACCAGAATTCCTTCACTGCTGAACAGCAATCTTGGTGGTTGTGTTGATTTTTGTATATATCTATTTAAAGAGAAGCTGAGGATAAATATCTTAAGTGAAAAGTACTTACTGGTAGAATTGCTTCCCTTATCTTGTTTATACAGATTAATTAAAAAAATAAAAAGCACATAGGGTTAAAGATAAGATGGTGCCAGTGTTTTCTTCTTTATGTGTAATCTTGTTGCATGTCTCTACATAAGCTGTTCTGGCCACTCATCATAGTAACCAGCTGGGCCATTTCACCTGCTGGAGCCATTAAAGAGGACTCTCTCCCCCTAGATTAATCCCCTCCGACATTAGTTTTTTGCTCTGACAACTGGAGCAGGCATTCAGAATTTGCAGGTGGCCAGTGTGACGCACATAATTGCCTACAATTTTAGGCAATGAATAAAAATGGTCTACATTACTTGTCAAAGGTTGTATATGCAGTGCCAAGTGAGATCTATGGGAAGCCTTTTAGGGTTTAAAGAACAGTTAATAGCAAAGCTGCACAGTGCTTTTTTAATCATAATGCATTTGTAATATAGCACTTTGATCTTCTCCTTGTAGGAAATGGTGTTATATTAGCCACTTTTAAACATTTATGAGTGAAATTCAGTTATAGGAGAGTAAAAGTGATTATTCTTAGGCAGAACATGTTAGATTTCATTAAAAGTTTTAGCTTGCCCCTTCCTTGTTAAAATCTGTGGGGAGTCCTGTTCCTGGAGGGTTTCAAATCAGGATCTGAAGATTTAGAAGAGCTTTTTTTTTTCCCCTCCACTAAAGCTACTGCAAGACTAGAAAAGATGGTAGTAAATACTGATGTTATTTGTGGTTGTTTATAAATGTACTTCAACTGCATAGCATTAAGTGCAAAAAATGTTGTGTGCTCAACAGTTCAGGGAATGTTTCCTTGTATTTTAAAGATCTTAATGCTCAGTTGCATCAATTTCAACTTAAAAAAATGCATTATTTAAAGCATGATCATAAATTATCTACAACAAAAAATAGGCGACTCTAAAATGTACTACTCCTAGAAGAGCAGAGTTTGACCTTTCAGACCCAAGAGCCTTTTATTAACACCTGCCTGTAAGGAAAACCGTGCCACACGCAGCTTTCGGATTCACGACCACAAAACTGATGAGGAAAGGCTTGAAGGGTTCAGTTTGTGTCACTTGCTGTTTGCCGTTTCCATTTCACAGATGATTAATCTTTCTGTGAAGAAAGGCCAGAGAAACAAAGCACATTGGGCTCTTCCTGCAGTTACTCCTTCTGAATGCACACTAGCTTGCTAACTAAAAGGCCTTTAGATTTCCTGCCGAGAGAGATGTTCTGAAAGTGAATGCAGCTGGTTGGAGGTCACCAGTGCAAGGCTCTTGCCATTGTGTAATGGAGGCTTTGGCAGGTTTCATTTTGGGGGGGGAGGGAGAAGGTGTTGGCGAAAAATTAATGCGGAATAAAAAGGGCTTTGGCCGTTTGAATTAATTTCTTGAGGGTGGATCATCAATAATAGGCTCCATTTCTTTTGCTCACAATTTAAAAAAAATAATTTTTTTTGCTGTGTTTTGTCCCACCCATTCCCTTTTCTTAATGGCATGTTTATATTGTACGTGGTCTCTCCCGCTGGATGCTGAAATGTTGCGTCTTACTGAGTTCGAAAAGCAATCTAAAATGTACCTATTTTTACATATATTTTATGAGCTCTGCTGATGTTCTTGGTGACAAGAGATGATACTCGAGTCTTGTGTATTTAACTTTCTAATTGTAGGATTTGGATGACTTTAATAATCCATATTGCTCTTTAGCGACTTTGAAAGCAGCAATTTCTGTTTTTCTGGAAGAGTAAAAATTTGTTTATAAAAGGTATTATCTAATTTTTCATTTGTGTGTATGTTTTGAATCTTAATGGATACACGCCTTGTTTATGGAAGAGAATAGTCTTGATATCCAGCTGAGTTTTTGACTTTGGGTTTTTTTTTGATCTTGCGTAGGACGTAATGTGCAAAATCAAGACATGGGTAATAGATGAAAAGAAAGCTGTCCGCTTCTATCATGATTGGAATGACAAAGAGGTAGGCTATAAATATTACTCCATGAATTGACTTCTAATTTTGCTACCTGTTACTAGTTCTTTTTAAAGTTGTTGGTTTTGGGGTTTTTTTAGATTTCATATTCATAATTTATTGAATGTTGAATTTATTAGCTGAATTTATACTTATCTGTGATTTATGTATTACACTTGAGTTCTGTAGCCTTCTCAGACATGCCATGAGGAAAATGATCATAAAATTAATTCAAGTTGATTTAAACTGTTTTTAAAATTCTCTCCCTCTATTCTCACTTCCAGATCGATGTTTTGAACAAACATTTGTTTTTTACTTCAAAACCGATGATCTACTTGGTTAATCTGTCTGAAAAAGACTACATTAGAAAGAAAAACAAGTGGTGAGTATAGAGGATAAATGTCTAAACTTGTATTTCTGTTTCACATTTTTCAATGGTCAGTAATTCCTTGCACATTTAGATCACCAAGGATGTTAGTTAAAATAGCTATATGAACTAATCTTGCACTGCTGTTGCTTGTTATGCTCCCACTGACGTGCTGCTGGAGTACAATGCATATGGTGAAACCTTGACTGAAACTGCAGAAAAGAATATGCTTTCCATCCTTGCAATTTAACATGAAGCCATTAATGTTGAAGAAAATAGATTTGATTTAGAAGTACTAATTTAAATAAGCATGTGGCTTTATCATGTTCTGTAAACTGGTTGTCTGAACAGCATCTTTTTCATTCCAAAGGAATGAATTCAGTGCCAGAAGACTAAAGCTATGTGAGTTGCACAGAAGTCTTTCAAGCAAAATTGCACATTTTAGTGTTACTCTTCTTTTTTTAGTTGGGTGCCTTGCTTTCTTGCCACTTCTTGTGCCTTGCTTGTGGTTTACAGGCCTCTTTTGGTGGGCTTTAGTGCCATGAATAGCTCGGGTTTCAGTCAGGTATTTCTGGCATCAATGTTGTGACTCAGGTACATAATGTTTACAAAATCAGTCTATCAGGCGTTCAGTGAAGTGGATGAAGATCCAATCCTAACATGGTAGACGTAAGGTGGGAATCCACTGTTGGGAAGTACAGCATTTAGCATGTCATTGGAAGCTCTAGATGGCATAAATATTGCTCTGTGGAGGAGGGAACAGATTGGGTAGTTAGCATATGATGAAGGAAAATCTATAGCAGTGTGTTCAGTTTAAAAAAACCCAACCAAACAACAAATATTTTCTTACAATTCAGAATTTTAAACACTGTGCTTGTGAGATACTTTGAAGATCTAAAAATGTATGTTTGTGAACAGATATATGCATGTAACTCATCCAAACAAATCAAAAGTATCTAAAGCGGAATATCTGAATTCTCCTAAAGTACACCCTCTGTTTCTCCCTGTACTTCATTAAGTACTTAGATGCACATGGTTTCAATTTTCCATTAAAAATTCTCATTTCCATATGATATCAAAGAGTGAGAAGGCTTTAAACTGAAAAATAAACATTCATAGACTGGAAGCCAAAACAATAATTAATGTCAGATGGTTAACTCCAATAAATCATTAGAATAAATTCTGTGAAATTACTGCAACTAAAACTGTCCTTTTGATACTCCAAGACATTTTGTTTTGGTACTAAAGAACAAAATTTAATGTATTTTAGTAGCAAACCCTCTCAGTCCCAAACACAAACTTCAGAATAGACTTCATGAGCAGTATAATAATGTAAGCTCTTCATATTTGGCTGAATTTTATAATTTTAAATTAATTTTTTCCTCTAAATATTTTTTGGGTATGACAATTCAAATGTAAGAATAGTTCTAACCAAGGAAATATTTAAGATCAGGGTAGTTGTATTTGCTCTGTTGCTGTAAGGTGATACTTTTTTCAAAGTAAAAATGCTATGGTTTCTTCAGGCTTGCTGTAACAGTACAGATGTGGAAGCTTATGTGCAAATGGATGAGTCTGTTTCCATGTCCCAAAAAGGATCCTCACACCTGTATTTGGCTGATTACAGGTAGAGCTCGGTGGCTCTAATTGTACAGTAAATACCATTGCCCAGACCCTAATGGCAGCCAGACTACTTAGGCGACGCCAGTCTGTGATTTAGCTGTCGCCAGTCACCCCATGTTTTTTGTGAGACTGGTTGTGATGATGACATAGTTAAACCCAATTGAAAGCAAATCTTTGGATAAATTGCAATTTTTAATTTGTAAAAAATCAGATGTTTGAGTTGAGGAGTCATACAATGAAACAGTTCAACTGTTTCTATTACAATTAGTGATGTAGTTTTTAAAAAGTATACCCAGATCTCATGGATGTGAATGTAATTGTAGCTGAAAGATCAAAGCCTGGGTATCTGAGTGATGTTCCAGAGGAGAATTTACCACATAGCCATTTTCAGTACAGTTTCTGCCTCCTGCTGTTCCTATTTTCCCTCAAGCTAGCCATTGACTACCCCCTGTGCATCCCTGCTCGTAAAAAATGATTGAGGAAGTATTTGTCATGTATTTATGAGTGGGAAACATTGTGTGATAGGGAAAGGCATCTACTAGAACCAGAAAGATTGCCATTTCCTTTCCTTCAGCTACTCTGCCACAGCCTTAAATCCTCTGTTTATGCAACATAGCTTTTATATTTAAGAGCAGAATAAATGTTTTCTATGAAGGATGCTAACGGTAGGCTTCTGTCATTTATGTGGTGCAAGCAGATGTAAATGATTAGAATATATTTTACTGTTAGATGCCACTTTCTGATTTTTGTTATTATTTTGAGGGGTAGGTATTCATATTTGAAATACAAGCCACATTTAGTTGTAGTCGTTCTTCTAAAAAAAGTTTATTTCTGAGCTTAATTCATAATATAACAAGAGACTCTTTTCATCAGACTTTTGCAACTATAAAAGTGTTTAAAACAGCAAAGGAGAGAAGAGGCTTTTTGATTTTGTGTGGAGAGGAGAACTGAAATTTTCTTTGTTTTACTCGGTCACTCTTACAGAATTAATGAACATTTTAATTGTTAGTTAAAGCACACTTATATTTAGGTGCCAGTGTGTCATTTTTCAATCCAAGGAAAGAATAAAACACTGTGAAAGATAGGACTATTGTGTGTTTGAGTAGGTGTATTGACCTTTTGAAACATGTAAAAACTGGAATGGCTCCAAGCTGGTTTTAACAATGTTGAATTAGTCATTCAGTTGATTTATGATTAAGACCTAGCCCCTGAAGAGAAGCTGACATGGCAGCTGTGTTAGTCGCACTTGTGTTATGATCAGATGACAGTAATCTTGATGTTTATGGGGGAATCCACTGAAACCATTCCTAATATGCACTGCTGTGCTCTAAATGAATATTTAAACTCTTCTTTTAATAATTCCTAATTTTTTTAAAAAATCTGGATCTAGTACCTTAACCATGGTATACTGTATTCGAGTTTAACCATGAAAACATTGAAAATAGTAATAATAATTATCAGTTAAAACTGCATTCTGAGTCCCCGGATGTCACATGAATCCAGGATATCTGATTTCTCAGCCCTTCATCTAATTTAAACTTTACATTTTAGTCTTGCCATAGAGCATACATCTAGTGGCTCAGAGAATGGATTCCAATTATGAAATATATTGAGCTAAATAACGAGTGGATATAGTGGACCATGCTTAGCGTCATGTTTGGTTTGGTATTTTGGACTTATTTGCAGCAAGCACCAGAAATACTGTATATTTTAAAGCTGCATATCTGATCTATTGACTCAATTTCTCTGGTCCAATAAAGTGAATTTCATCCTATGCCTAGACTGTAATTCAAAAAGCCACTTATGCTGCTAAAGATTTTTTAGTATCTCTAGCATTGTAACTAAACTGAGACTTAATTATGGATTTCTGAACATTGTTTTCTCTAATATAATTCAGACTTGTTGAATATCCAAATGTATGTTAACATAATTTTAAGGGGTTGTTTCTCAAAATGTTATGGTAGGCATTCTGTTAAAAATGTTGATCAGTGTTGATAGGATAGAGGACTTAGTATTTTGCTCCTGTGTATTTAGAAAAGTGACATATATGTCATAACAAATAAAATTTTGCCCATTAATTTTCATAGCATTTTCAGTGTTCTTAAGCTAGAAGAGGTATAATTAGGTCAGATGAAAGGTCCATCTTTTTTGGTATCGTGTTTCTGACAGGCCACTAACAGATGTCCAGGGAAGATTATAGGAACAGATTAAGCAAACAGGCTATATGCATCCAGCTTCTTGCAATCTGTTATTGTAGAACTGACTGAGCCAGATATGATATACTTGTGATTAATACTTTTTGACTGATATTTATTCTATGAATTTACCCATTCACCTTTTGAACTCAAGTATACTTTTTGGTATCCCAATATCCTGAAGCAGGGACTTCCACAGCTTAACAATGTGCTATATGTAGAAGTACTTCCTTATGCTTGTTTTGGATCTGCCCCATCATAATTTCATTTGGTGCTCCTTAGATCTTGTATTATGAGAGTGAATAATCCTTTTCTATTCATCTTTTTCATATTGCTTCAGATGTTCCAAATATTTAAAAAAAAATGGAGGGGGTAGGGAAATCTGACATGAAGAAAGAAATATCAAGGATCAAGTAAAAGGAACACTCCATAGGTTTGAGTATGAACTAATCTCTTTCACTAGGTCTTTCACTTTTAAACTAGTTAAGAAACGAAGTTATAAATGGAATTATTTATTACCATTTACCAGCCTTGGAGTTCTTAGTTGTATTTCTGCAGGTATGGATGTTTATGGATTTATCAGATATTTTATTCTGATAAATATATTTGAGAAATTAGTTGAAGGAATTTTAAAATCATAACTTGTAATGCCAAGGTGATGTTGAAATGTTTTCTTGACATAGCTGCTTAATGATTTTAAGGTTGTCCTCTATGCTAACTAATTTGGAAAATAATACTTAAAAAATATATTACAGTTCTTGTTCCTGCCTTACAACTAAAATGTTTTAAAAGAATATTAGGAGTTGATTTATGTTATCTGGGTATAAGTAAAGTTTTGCACACACAAGTTGAGAAGTCAGACATTCAAAGCTAATCAGATCCAGAAGTTAGGCATCCTGTGCTACATCTTTACTGCCTGACTGAGAGTATCTTACAGCTCAGGCTTTCAAAACTAGGGAATTGCAAATGTTTTTCATGGAGCATCTACCTAGTATAGAGAGGGATAGTGCATGTTATTTGCTTCATAAAGAGTTATTCTTATTGTTTCTTATACAAATGAATTAATGAATACAAATTAATTAGTCATCCATCAACCAAATGGCAGTCTGTTTTCTTTCCAGCACCATGTCCAGGCATTGCCACAATTGACAACTTGGAGTCTTCTGTTTTACCAATTCCAGTGACTTTATTTAATTGTTC